TTTCCCTCCTGGTTTACCACGTTATCCATCCTGGTCTTTTAAAACAACCCATCTTGCAGCATCTGGTAGCATCCATCCTCCACTCCCTACGAGGAGGCTTTGTTTTCCGACACCTTCTGCCTCTGCGTACATGCTGGCTTGTGCACGTCTCCGGCTTTGTTTGCGTTTGAGGAGGAAAAGAAATCCATAGGAACACAGGGCCGATGAGATCCGGCACCTGCAATGGCTGTTACTTCTGGCAGGGAACTGCCTAATCCTCAGCTCTCACAGGAAAGCGAGACATACTGTGAATACTGCTGAGGGGCAAGTGAGGTCAGGGGTATTTGGGATCACGTGGATCAGAGGAACGTGGAGACTGCGTGGCTTAGTCACAAGATCCTAATCAGTATAGTATAGGACCTGCAAAAGAGGTATTCTGAGCCCTGGCAAAGAATCTGGCGATGCTCAGGGGCAGCGTAGCATGTACAGAAATCTCTACTGTTTGCTGAGGGTTGCTTAGGACCAAGTGCCTTAAACGGGACAGAATCTCACTGAGTAGATACGTAGCACCTGTAAAAGCACTTCTCATCCGTATCCCCCATGGCAAGACCGGTGCCCTGCTCCAGTTCACCTCACCAGTCCCTCCAAAGAAGGGCTCTCTGCCTTGTCAGGAATGTCACCTGGTGGAGTAGAAACTTTTTCGAGGAGCTGTAGGAAAGGTGAGCCTAGAAGATTGTGTAGGGTGAACACGTATAACTAGACAACCATGAAATGGGTATTACATGCTGGCTTCCAAGAGCTCACAGGGCCTCTTCCTCCGTTTCCACAAGAGCTTGCAGGAGAACCAAAGTAAAATGCTTAGAAAGGAACATTCCCACCAGACTGTGCAAAACAAAGACCCTTCCAATGGTTCTTTTTTGTGCTTCTTTTGAGTAGTTCTGTTTCAAGCGGGGCTGGATGGAAAGGCCACTCTGAACCAAGGAAGTGCAGAACGCATGGGAGGTGCTGGGATACCAATGAGACTTTTGCAGCTGTTGGCCCAAAACCAAGCATGTGACACTCTAAAAATTTTCAGAACCTGACAGTGCAATTGATGTCGCTTCTACTGGTTGTTCCTGAAACAGGAAATTTCTCTATCACAGCTAGAGAGAGAAAAGCTCCTTCCTTATCCTGTAATACAACCTGTGCCACAGTAATTTCTAGAGGCTCTGCTGTGATAGATATTGTACCTGTATAAATGTACTCTACAACCTCACCCTTTTATATCAGTTTTCAACAAAGGACATTGAAGTCCTCAGTGAAGGAGGCAAATGTCTTTATTTTGGTTTGCAAGTGGAGAAACACTAGCGTGATGTGTGACGTACAGCTTTTAAAAGAATTTCGTATCCATCATAGAAAATGTGAGCCTAATTGTCTGAAACATTCGGTCCTTAGATCCCAGCGATAGCATTTTCTACCTGCCTGCATGGTTCCCCACTGGCAGAGCGCATTCAAACTGCAATAACTCCTTTTCTTTTCATTATAGGTAGCTCACTGCTGGTCTACAATACTCCATCCCACACAGAAGCTTCCTCACGTCTTGCCACCAAAGAAGGTCAGTCTTTTGCGTATAAATGTCTTGGCTTCCCGTGCTCTCACGATGGTTTTGGCTGGGTTAAAACTAGACCTTTTATATAATATCCTTGGCATGAAAATGTTCTGATCTGCTACGCAGGCACAGCATGGTTGAAATAGAATAATCACAATTTGCAGCCCCGTCCGTGCTGAAAATCACATCTCTGCTTGTCCAGCCGACACTGTGGCATATAATGTATATCTGTCATTTTCACACTTGTGTGTTACCGCCTTGATGAACTGATGGCATATTTTCTGTTCTTTACGTGAAACAGCTTGAGATCTCAGAAATATAGCAAGGACTCAGACACTATTTCTCTCCGAGTGAGTTCGTAGTTGAAAGGACAAAATTTTCTCACAATAAACTCCTGAACAAAGGGCACTCATGTCTTCCAAAACCGTTCGTGAATCTGTCAGCTAGTTTCAACCCGCAGAGAAGACCAAGTTTATCTTTTTGACCCTTTCATTTTGGAACATTTTGATTTTCTTTTTCAAATAACCCCAAATTTTTAATCTATCAGAAATTCTGATCATGTAGAAAGAGCTTGGAAACCTTGAAGTTTAAATGGTAATAACACACCTGAGGCTCCTTCAGGCTTTTGAGCTCTTCGTATACCCTTCAGTCAGGCTTTTCAGGTTTTCCTCTGCAGCTACAGCTCTATTCCTTTTTTCTTATTTTTAGTGGAAAACTGGATTCTCAGTCATGATAAAATTATGAGAGTCGGTGTGATGGGTAGGATGCATATCCCTTACCTACATAAGACAGTAAATCACAGTCAGACAGCTGAACTGCTAAGGGCCAAGTAGGGTGTTAAAGACCAAAAATCTCGTCCTGTGCTCTGAAACTTAACATGGAGGATCAGGAGCCTTGAGGTTGGTCTTGCTTTCCCTTTGTGTAACTGCAGGAACGTTGATTTTTGTTCACTCCGCTGTGTTCAGCTCCTCCATTTGAAAAGCTTCGGGGAAAAGCGTGAAATCTCATGTCTGCCCTATGAGATAACCCACCTAGAAGCAGTCTGCTCTCGTGCCAAGGCAGTTTCCTCACCTCATATATAAACATTTCCACGCTTTTCAGGAGAACATGGCTTCATTGATGAACCGCAAGTTTGCATTTCAAAGAACAGTGGGAAAAGGCAGAAAGCCTTTTATTTAAGCAGCTGGGGAGAGAGGGCCCCCCCCCCCCCCCATTTCTCCGAAAGGCTACAGCAAGCTGAGATCCCACATTTAACAAGCTTCTGCATGGTGTGTCTGGCTGCTTCACTGACTAGCACAGCTCTTAGAGCCAGCACATCCTTCTCGTTGCTGTAGTCCATCTCCAACATCTGTCTTGGACCCCGGACACAATATCAGCGCTGGTTTTTACAGCAGCTTCTTTTGTCCAGCATGTAACTATCCACTTGAGCTGTCTGTTCGCTGGCATGCTGTTGTCTCTGTATGAGACAGGCTTTAGTTGATAAACTACAGCACATTACAGAGACAAAGCCATTCAGGCTTTTCTCTGACTGACTATTTTGACGCTCACAGTCACCTATTTAAAACCAATAAAAGCTTGGCTTACTCCTATTTGAACAAGGCAGACCCACGTGCACGTGTCCCTCTACAATTTCCCCCACAAACATACACACACATCCAAGGCTGTGCTCTTTCTGTCCCAGGCCAGGTGGTTGCCAAAAATAAAGGGAAGAAAGCTGCAATTTTTTTTTATTAAAGAGAAATGCTCTGCATAAAATTGCACTCCTCTGAGTTTTTCATACTGCCTGGAGTCGCTCAGGCAGAAAGAAAATTGAAGGAAAAAAATGTTTCTCCCCCTCAAATTTTACTGCCCTCAAGTGTGTTTCTTCAGTGCAACTGACACAAGTTTGCGTTTGATTTCTGTCAGCTAGACGTTTTTAACTTGACATGGTACTTCCACCATGTGTCAATAAAGGACTAAACACACCCATGGGACACTCAAATAAAAATTAAGAACTAGCATAGAAATGTTGAAATCCCATCTATTCCTCTTCCATTTCTTCCTACAATGTATAAATTTCCTCTGCATTCATTTGATGTCTGAATACTGTTCTAGGATAAACCGACCCACTTCAACCTACTGTAACTGATTCATGTTCCAAATGTTATCCGTGAGATAAAATGACAGGGTAGGAGAGATGTGAACATGACAGGCTGACAGCTAAGGAATTGGGGGAGCAGAGTGAAGGGTCTTGTCCAATATCACAGAAGAAACTCATCATGAACATAGAACTGGACTTGGAATTCCTCAGCCTCGGTCTAGTCTGTTAGGCAGCAAGATTTTCCTTGCTTCCTTTTAAGGCTTTTTAATAGGCTCGCTTCAGGATGATGATGTCCTTTTGGAAAAGGAATTTCGGCTTAAAAATCATGATTTTTTAATGAGTATTTTCTTGTCTCCTTAACCTCTCAAAAGATGGAATATTTTCCTTTAAGTTAATGCATCTTGAATCTACTAATCCTGTCAATACTTCTTCTCTCTATGCCTAAAAACAGACAAACAAATTTTTCTAATCACCTTCCCTTGAGGATTCAAAAGCAGGAGGAGGTGACGAATAGTACAACACATGTCAGAGATAAGAAAAAAAAAATATACTATTTTCTTCACTCCTCCTGTAATTTTTCTTGCACGTTCTCTAAGATCACACAGCTAATGAAAATAATTTGCTTGTGCAAATTCCAGGGAGAAATGCATACGCTCAGACAATGCTTTATACAACGTATTCCAGCCACTTGTTATCAAAAGGAACCTGCATGGCAAAAAAAAAGGCGCAACAGCGCCAGATGCAAATGTCTCAGATGCAGCGGACGGCTCTGCTCTCTCCCAAACTCGTTACAGACACAGCAGGGTGTGCTCTGTAGCCACAGCGAGGACGGTGTCACCCAGGAGCCCAGGGCACCACCTGCCCTGTGGCCCACGCTGGCAGGGGCAGCGCTGCTGTCACAGGACTGGGTTTCGTGCCGTGGCTCTGGGGACAGAACTGCCTTGGGTGGTTGCAGCTGCAGGCTTCACTCCCTTTTCCCCTTCTATTTTCTGCCCTCTCACTTCTCTTCTGCCGTGCCAGCTCTGCGTACAGAAGAACCTGTGGCAGTGTTTTCGGAGAGTTAAACTGCTTTCACAGCAGAAAGAGATACCGTACACGTCTACAGCTGGTGCACAAAGCATGTGCGTTTTGTTCAGATAGGTAGAAACTTTGTCGTGTTCAAAGGACTCCTGTTGCCTGAGTTTCTTTGCTTCTCAGCCTCATAAACACTCAAAAGTATGGTATTTAGCGTCATTGGTACAAATTGTCTTCAGCTGCCTTTGAGAAGTGAATTGCTCTAATGAAAATCACCAGTATTTTTTGGCTAGAGAACAATTTTCTAGAAAACTAACCGAGGTTGCTCTCATGGCTGAATGGAAAGATTTGTGTCCCACTCCCAGAGAGATGGCCTGTTTCATTTTCCGTGACTGTTTGGAGCAATCACTGACCTACTGTAGGTACCGGGGACACGGGAGAAGAATCTGAGACCGCATTCTCTGCCCAAGTCCACGGGGATTTTAAATTGCTCGCCTTCAGAATGGTGTCATTTAAGCAGGTTTCCATAGGGAAATGGAAAGTATATTCACATACAACAACATTTAGGAGGCCAAAGGGCTGTGGCCTGTATGGTTGTGAACATTCTGGCCTCAATCCAACGCATTCTTAAAGCCCGTGCTTACCCTTAAGTACGTTGGGGTCTGCATAACTCGCGCGTTTAATATAGAAGCCTAAATGCTGTGCAGGATTTGAACCCAAGCTGGCAGTTCCCAAAGAGGCAGAACCACGATGTGTTGATGTGTAAAATTGCATGTGTCTAAACAGGCACGTAGGAGGGTCTGGTGTGGTATTTGCGGTGCTTCGTTGTATTTGGTGGTGGTATTTGGGCAGGGAGGTGGCAGAGTGGGATGAGGGCCGGCTCAGCCGACAAGGGCTACACTCGCCCATCCTGCGTGAGAATTTAGCGGGGGGATTTTGTGTGGCTGTTTGCCTTGGGATTGCAGGTTATGTGTGATCTTGACTAAAAGGCTGGATTCAGCATGGGGCTTTATCCTCCAGCGCCGCCCTCTGCATGCGGCGGGCTCAGCCCAAGGCAATACAGCTAGCTTAGAATAGTGGTCAACCAGCACTGCTCTCACAAATCCAGCCTAAATTCAAGCAGAACACAGGAAAAACTGAGGTGCCACCTGCATTTTCAAAGAGGGAAGAAATTTGTGCGCGAATACATGAGTATGCATGAAGGAGACACATTTTAAGGATTTAGTCTGTGGCCGCCCCATGTTTATGTTTGCATTGTAGAAGTGTTTGTGTGAACGAGAAGGATGTTTAGGTATAAGGTGTGTTCGCTTACATGTTTTGCTCGGTTGTTGGCGAATTTCAGAAGCGAAACAAATCGGTGAGCTCTGAAACTCACGCAGCGTGGTTTCCCGTGGGTTTGTACCCGTGTTCATTGTGGGCCCCTAAGGAAGAGTTTCTGGATGTTGGAGCATCGATAAGATCTCTCTCAGGCAGATTCCCTGGTACCTGAAAAAATACGAGTCCGTGCAGCTGCTTTTCTCACCATCGGGGCCACAATCTCTCTCCTCTTTCCCCAGCAGTTTCCTTTAAACACTTTAAAACTCGTCTCTCTCACTTGTCAAATCCAGTGACAACATTGGGTGACAGGTTCAAAAGTTTTGGGGGACTGGAGAGAGAGGGGCAAAGAGACCACGGGCAGCACAAGCACGGTTCCTACAGGAAAATAGTCTGCAATTCCTGCATAAAATTCTCTTGAAAAGGCCATTTTTCAGGTCTAAAAGGTCGTCATGTGAAAAATATTGACCGGTTTCAGTAAATTCTTCTTCTGAGTGTGTCAGTAAGGCTCCTTGTTATAAACCCTCCAGTCTTAGTTGTGTCAGAGAAAAAGCAGTTGCAGCTTTATGCTCTCTTAATTGTCTGTACATGCCATAAC